TGTAACTACGGATTTTAGTAATACAAATTATTTCGTATTTGCTGCAAAAGCCGTGTTCTGTTGATAAAAAATGGTATTTTCCTTTTGAGTTTTATATAGCTGAATACAATAGTTCATTTCCACATAATCGAATGAGTATTATTTTTTTTCAATAATACAATGTTATGTCCTAGAGGAGGAACGCAACCTTTTCGTTCGCGAGTAAGGCGAACCTTGTTCGTACACGCGTGTCAGTGAACGGGTCAGGGACCCGACGGGTCCCTTTACTCGGACACCGACGTACGACGAGCGGTCCGTTTTTCGGTCAAGGACGCGAGTCCCTTTACCGGGGATAGGACCATGAGTTGACTGTTGGAAGGTGGGGTGATTTTGAAATTAATTGGTGATAATAACTATTAACAGATTTATTAAAATAAAGATGTCAAAATTATATAACGGCACGGTTTGAATTAACAAATTTATTAATAATAGGATATAACGGTGCGGATTGAATTTTTACAGGTTTATTAAGATGAATAGCGACCCAAAATGATGTAATTGAATGGTTTAAACATGACAATTATACTTAGATGAATGAGTGTATGTGTGTGTGTATGAGTGTGTGTATGAAATGGAAAAAGAAAGGGATAGGAAAGGGAACGAATATGAATAGGAAGTTCAAGGGTGGAATAAATAAAATAGAAGTAGGAAGATAAAGTAAAGAAAATGAAACTTACTACTGATTCAGGATGAGTTGACACAAGCAGAAGTGAGAATGGCGCAGATCTGCGTAGGTATTCTTGTTTCCAATATTCGTATTCCGATTGAGGCACCAAATAGTCGTTCACTTATATAAAGAAGAAGCCCGCACTTTTTCCAAAATCCGAATGCTTGAATATTTGAATACTAAATATTTGAATGAACTGGAATTATGAAGATTTGAATCTGAGTCCTAATGCTCAAGATCTGAATATCCGAGTTCTGAATATCTGAGTTTTGAATATCTGCGTGAGAGTGCGAGTCTGAGCTTTTTCGTTTCCGTGTTATTCTGTCTCTCAGAGTAGTGGTGTCGCGGAGGCGGATTACCGCGGTTTTTATATCAATGATCGGAGGCAGAAGCTATCAGGGTGAGTAGAGAGATGGCCCTTGAGGAAGGGGTGAATTGGTCTTAGTGGGAAAAAGTCTCAGCCATTAGCGAAGTTAAAAGATATGGGAGGAGACGGTTAGTTTTTGGAGATATGAATATGGAAGGGCTAAAGGGTGGAGCGTGGGTGTCTCATAGTTTTAGGTGGATATGATATGATTGGCTGAATGAATTAGGCGCGACAAGCGTGGAGGTGGTGGATTCTTGAGATAGAGAAATGTATACAAGTGGCCGGCTGGAAAAATCAAAATGCCGTAAATCAAAGGCTGAGATTAGATTTTACGACTATCAGTGAAGTAAGCTTTGTTGGTTGACTGATAGGGCACATATGGTTTTGGATTGGGAAGATGTAAGTTTCAAGTTTTAGAGCAGGAATGCTCTGTGTTGCTTTGTTTTACTGAAGATTTGTTAGCGCGGAATTTCAAATTTTTATAGCTAGGACGACGGACACACTTGGCGAACACTACCCAGATATAAACTTTAAACGAAGACGTAGATTTTTACAACAGGGCACTATTTCCTGTTATGGAATTTTCCCGAATCGCCTTTCATTTGGCGTGACGGCTGTTCGCCAGATGGGTCTGTTTCCTAATTTATATTTATATATGTATATATTCCTATTATAGTTATATTAAGAGAATATAAATCCGCGAGAAGAAAGAATTTTTGCTAATTAAATCTACAGGATGTAACAACAAATTCTACTTTATAATTCCTGTTTTCTTTTATTTTTATTCTTTTATTTTTTTATTATGTTTCTATTAACTTCATATGAAGTTAACTGCGCTATGATTTTTTTCAAATAGCACAGGGTACAAAATTTTTATTAAAATTTAATGATACAAATTAGTAGATTATCATCAAAAAACAAAGTAGGTACCAAATAATCTACCAAGGTGCGGTTTAATTCTACTGACTTGGTCCTACTAGTTTTAGACAAGTAAATAGGTTTGAGTCATTTGTTCTGACAGATCAATGTCACATCTACCGGGTGTTTCAGACCACCCGGGTCATCCGATTTTTTCGTTAACGCGACATTTTAGAGAAAAATATTTCAGACAAAAGTTGTAGGGCTTCAAAGGATCTATTTACTGACGCTATGAATTTGACCCTGGGATAACCTTGAAAAGTCCAGTCAAGATCAACATAAAAATCTTAAATGGATATCCTAATTTTTTATTACATTATCTTTTTCTAGCAATTAATTTGAACTTTTGTCTGAAACATTTTTTTATTTAATATTTAATATTTTTATTTAATATTTAATATTATTTACTATTTTTTGAGATATTTAAGGAAAACTTGATAACTTGATAACTTTTTCAATATTTAACTCACGATATCTCGCTAACTATTTGTCAGAAGAAAAAGTGATACTAGACTTTTTTGTTCTATTCAGTCTCAAGAATATATTTTTACAATAGCGCCCTAACTTTTGTTAACTTGCTGATTTTTGGAAATTTCAAAATCAAATTAACCAAATTCAGGGCACTATTGGAACAATATATTCTTGAGACTAAACAGAGCAAAAAAGTCTAGTACCACTTTTTCTTCTGACAAATAGTGAAATATCGTGAGTTTGAATATATTTAAAATATATAAATATTGAAAATAAATATTGAAAATATTGAAAAAATTATTAAGTTTTCCTTAAATATCTAAAAAAATATTAGATAAATAAAAAAATGTTCAGACAAAAGTTGTTCAAATTAATTGCTGGAAAAAAGATGATGTAATAAAAAATTGGGGTATCCACTTAAGATTTTTATGTTGACCTTGACTGGGTCTTTTCATGGTTATCCCAAAGTCAAATTCATAGCGTCAGTAAATAGATTCTTTGAAGCCCTATTACTTTTGTCTGAAATATTTTTCTTTAAAATGTCGCGTTAACGAAAAAATCGGGTGATCCGGGTGGTCTAAAACACCAGGTATATACTTATTGTTGTCTTTCACGATATTAAGTACTTTCTGAAATTTATTTGTAATATTGTATATTTTTTCAGTTAAAAAAACTCTGTGCATTGTTAATAACTGATAACTTTTTTTTATTTCCCAGACTATAAAATATCATTTTAAAGTATAGCAAAATTCTATATCACCTTTTCTCATTTTTCAAATTTTGAAGTCAGATAGGGGAGAGTTACCTAAGATGGGACGGTCGCCAAGATGGGACACACTTATTTTTACGAATTACATGAGGGGTGGCGCCATCTGCTTCTAACACGTAAAAGCTCTCATAGCTGTAATTGCTTGTAGGGAGTCGCTAATGTTTAGTATAATCATTGCAGCGTCCAGAGCACGTGGTATTTGTTTACTTGATTTTCTTAAAATATTTGGTGGTTAGAAAATAGTGAATGTCCTGTTTACGGTAAGTGACTGTATAAGTTTATTGCAGTAGAGTGAAATACTAGTTCAAGTCAATGAATATTTACTCAAAGTTTTTGCCATTAAAATTTCCTGTGAATATAGGTTAGGTTTTTTACAAAAATTGTGCATGTTACCCAAGATGGGACACAATAAAGACTCTTAAGTTGGGACGTCCTATCTTGGGATACTGTTCATACAAAATATAAAGCCTAATTTTTTCTTTTTGTTTCGTTGCAGATGTCTCAAACAGATCGCAATTACAAAAGGAAAACAGATCGTGGAAAATGGTCCGTACAAGACATGCTAGAAGCAATACAAAAAGTCCGAGATGAGTTATCTGTAAGACAGGCGGCAGAACAGTATAATGTACCAAAAAGTACACTGCAAAGAAGAGTGAAGAACCGCAATAAAATTGTGACAGAAAATGAAAAATATCTTGGACGATTCCGGAAAGTATTCTCTGATGAACAGGAAAACGAGATTATAGAATATATTTTTGGAATGGAAAAGCGTTTTTTTGGGATCACTTATAAAGAGCTTCGACATCTGGCATTTGATTTTGCCCATGCTAATAATATTCCTACTACTACTTTTAATAAAAATACTAGAATGGCATCTAAGAAATGGATGTATGGATTTTTGAGTAGACATAGGAATGTTTCCTTAAGAAAACCAGAAGCAACATCCTATGCTAGAGCTACAGGCTTCAACCAACATGCAGTTCAAGTCTTTTTTAAAAACCTCGAAGCTGTTTATGAAAACTATAAACTCACTGCCGATCGAGTTTGAAATGTCGATGAAACCGGTGTAACAACTGTTCAAAAATTACCGAAAATTCTTGCTGAAAGAGGCAAAAAGCAAGTCGGTGGATTGACAAGTGTCGAAAGAGGAGTTAATGTGACGGTTGTTGCATCAATGAGTGCTAGCGGTAATTTTTTGGCACCAGCTTTTATATTCCCCAGAAAGCGAATAAAACCTGAATTAATGAACAATGCACCTAGTGATAGTCCCGCTTTTCCACAAGACAAGGGTTGGATGGGTCGTGATGTGTTTTTACAGTTTATTAAATATTTTGTCAACCAAACCAGACCGTCTAAGGAGCAGTCAGTTTTAATTGTTTTAGATGGCCATAGTTCGCATATCAAAAGTTTAAACGTTATTGACTATTGTCGCGAAAGTGGTGTCATTTTATTATCTTTACCGCCTCACTGTACGCATAAAATGCAGCCGTTTCGTATTTTAAATCGTTTATGCCCTGTTACGATATGTATCTTACTCGTTGGTTAAAAAATCATTGCGGTCGTACGTTTGGACTGTATTAAATCGCAGGTGCCGTTGCAGAAGCGTTCTCAAAACCATCAAGTGTACAGATTGCAGTAAACGGATTTCGTAAAACCGGGATATGGCCCTTTAACAACAATATATTCGAAGAGTGGGAGTTTGCTGCTTCAAAAACCACAGAAGATCCAGAGTTTGAGAACCGGAATTTAGAAAGTAAAACGAAAGGTCTCCTAACTTAAAAGTGAACCCATATGAGAATCCAACCTCTTCAGCGTCAGGACAACAAAATTTACAGATGCACAGAAATGATCATGATTTACCGTTATCAACTTTGGTAGCTAATCAAAGCCCCTCTAAGCCAAAAAAGGTAAAAATAGTTGATATCAGTCCCCTTCCGATATCAAGAAAACAAGAAAAAAAGGTTTTTTCTAAAAGATCATTAAAATCCACCATTTTAACAGAATCGCCTTATAAAAATAAATTGGAGGCCTCACACACTACGAAATCCCTGCAAAACGCCAAGAAAGCTAAGAGAGCAATTGTTGTTGAAAACGATAAATAATACGTCCGAAAGTCAGGAAGCAATCAGATTAAGACCATTAACATTAGTGGAGATAGCGCGAATGTTGATGATACAAGATGTATTGTTTGTAATGAAAAATACAGTGAGAGTGGTGAAGATTGGTACAGCTGTCACGAGTGTTCAATGTGGGCACACGAGTTTTGTGGTGTGATGGATGAACTCTATTTTACCTGTGCAACATATGAAGGGTAGTGTACCTTCTTAGGTTACGCCTTGTCCCATCTTAAGAGACTGGTTTCTTAAGATGGGACATATGCAATTGTTTTCTAAAATGGAAAAATTAACCTTTTTTGTTTATTTGTGATCCAGTATCTAACTTAAATTTGGTGTTACCATTAATAAAGTTTAAATGCCTTATAATTTTTTTTTATTATTATTACTTTTCAAAATATATATCAAAATAAAAAACCGTCCTATCTTAGGTAACTCTCCCCTATATGTTTATAATTAATTCTGTACCATAAGCGTTGGTCTGCAATTTAGATACAAGTTTTATAAAAAGATTAGAAGCAATGTATCAATTACATTGTTTGCAATGAAATATCAGACTAATCATTTTCTCTAGTTTTTTTGGACGCTGAATACAAAGAATGACGCCAAAAATCACCTGTTTCGCCTTGAAATCCGACTTGAATTAAGTGTTAAACGATAATTATATACAGTACCCGTCAAAAGTTTCGGGTCACCTAAATATATTAAAAAAAAATATCTTTTTAAAAGTTATTATTATTCAAGAAAAACCTAACGACAAAAAATGTACGTAACATAAGTTTTTATATGTAAAATTTATTATAAAACTTACCTTTTTAAATAAAAAGGTAAAAAAAGGTGTCAAGTATAAGCGCAACATGTATTGTGTTATTTTTAGAAATTTCAAATTCAAACTTTTTTTTAAAGGTATATATGTGTACATAACAAGTTTTTACAAGTAAAACTTATAACTATAATAAAACTCTGCAACACTTTTCTACTGTACAAAAGAAGTGATATATTAAAACAGTAGCGCCAACTGAGAAACCTAACATATACAATATATAATATATGATTATTGTATACTTAATATTTTTAGAAATCTCAAATTCAAATTATTTTCTTTTTTAAGATATATATTATGGATATAACATAAGTTTTTATAATATGTACATAAACTTTTAAAAATAAAAATTATATCGTGTTATAAAAATTTAATGTTTGTTAATAGTGTCTAATATTAAAAAAAATATATCTTTTTAAATATTATGTACATAACATAAGTTTTTATAAGTAAAACTTATCAAATTTTTTTTTTTTGTAAGATATATATGTACGTCAACTTTTAAAAGCAAAAAACGGTTTTTTGATTGCCCCCCATTTTTTGAAAAGTCCAAATTTTTTTGTTCTTAATTGTTCTTGTTATTCTAAACATTGTTTCTAAGTATTAATTCTCCAAAACAACCAGGAACAATCGTCAATTTCGCTGTCATGTTCTCGATCTAGGTTCTATTGTTCTGCAGTTTGGTGCGGCTGGCTCAACGTTATCGGTCGAAAAAACGAAAAAGTTTCTCTCTCTCCAAGAGTAAAGTGCCATTTATACGTTTGTTCCGGCGAAATTGACGGTTGTTCCTGATTGTTCTCTCTGCTTTTACCTTGAATATGTAATCTCATGGTCAGTAAGTAATATTGATAGCTATAAACATAGAAATATTGAATTTGATGTTACTTTTTATGTTACTTTTGCTATATCTTTGTAAATACAGCTTTTGGAGAATTAATACTTAGGAACAATGTTTAGAACAACAAGAACAATCGAGAACAACAAAATTTTCAAAAAATGGGGGGCAACCGAAAAAAACCGTTTTTTGCTTTTCCCGTCATGTTTTTCGGTTTTCGTTCTTGTAACTCAAGAACAATATAGAACAAACAGAGAACAACTGGGAACAACTAAAAAAATATTTAAAATAAAAAAAAGGGGAGCTAACTTCATCTTGGTTCATCAGCTCTACAATATTTTACGACTCCAGACCTTCCTTACCGCGAAAAATGCAGCCGCACCCATAAAGTTCCTAACATTGATATATGTATGAAAGAAAAAACACTAATTATTTTATTAAATTTTCGAATAGGTGTTATTCGATAACTTGGTAGTGGCCTAAATGAACGTAAAACGTATCCATAACGTTAATTATAAGATCTGGTATGATTGAATTCGAAACATTCACTATTTTTTCTCGCAGCTCTTTTAAGTTTGCGGACCTAGTTTCATAGACTTGGGTTAGTAGACTTAGGTTATAGCTATTTGGTTGTGCTATAGAATATGGAATCAAGAGGCACAGTAGTGCCTCGCGCCAAGTTCAAGCGCAACGAAGTTGCGCCCGAACGGCGCAAGGCACACCGTGCCTATTATACGCGAAACTCCGAGTTGAAACGAAGTGAGATTTTCATATCTCAGCAATGGCCGAACCGATCGAGGTTTTTTTATACCCAATCGATTCGGCCTTCAAAAATAGGAAGAAAAGTGTTCTTGTGCTTTTTGTGTACGTTGTCTCTAAGTGGAGATATTTTAAGATAAAGTCTGAATCACGGAAAATTTCGATTCAGTAAGAAATGTCGGACGCAAAGGAGTGGGGTAAAACGTGCACATTGCTGTCTCGACACCAGGGGCGCTACGAGAGCGCTGAAGAAGCAAAGAACAGCGAGTGCAAGTGAGCAAGTGATAGAGAGTAAGAGAGAGAAGAATATTGCTAGAATACAGGAGGTGAAAATGTGTGACAGAGAGAAAGAGAGCAAGAGCGAGAGCGAGAAAGAGAGAGAGAGGGGGGATAAGGGGGAGAGAGAGGGAGAACGGGAGAGGGAGAGAGAACGGGAGAGGGAGAGAGAACGGGAGAGAGAGAGAGAACGGGAGAGAGAGAGAGAACGGGAGAGAGAGCGAGAGCGAGAGAGCGAGAGAGAAAGAAAGAGAGAGAGAGAGAGAGAGGGAGGGAGGGAGGGTGGGAACAGGCGAGAAAGAGAACGGGCGAGAGGGATGAAAGAGATAGGCATAAAAAGGTGAGAATGTTGGTATGCGTTGGTATGTTATGACGCACGTCATTTGATTGCCGATCAGCTGATGCTGAGCAGACGATGTGATGAGCTATGCCATCGAAAAATCAATACCGGTGTTTATTGACTCGTCATCCAGAGTGATCGCCTTTCAATTACTGTGAATTATGGTGAAGATAATAAAAAAAGGCGCCAAGTACAAGCGCAACACGTATTGTGTTATTTAAAAAAATTTCAAATTCAAATTATTTTTTAAGGTATATATGTGTACATAACATAAGTTTCTACAAGTAAAACTTATACTATGTACATACGTATCTACATAGATATATACGTATGTACATACGTATCTACATAGATATATACGTATGTACATACGTATCTACATAGATATATACGTATGTACATACGTACATACATACGTACATATTATATACATACATAGGTATATACGTACATACATACATACATACGTACATACATACATACATACATACATACATACATACATACATACGTACATACAAATGTTCATACTGACGTAAATACTTATTCAGATGTACGTAAATACTTACGTATATACATACAAACATATGTATATATATTTACGTACAAACGTACATAAACATATTTTAGGTATTGAAGGTCCGTGTCCACGTCTACATGTACGACAATATTTTCGAATTGCTTAGCTTTTCCCAGCATTTGTGCCTCTTGGTATATATGTTTATATATTCGTAATAACATATATATACACGTATATTATTATTACGAGTAAAACTTATAACTATAATAAAACTCTGCAACACTTTTTTATTGTACAAAAAAAGTGATATATTAGAACAGTAGCGCCAACTGAGAAACCTAACATATATATATATATATATATGATTATTGTATACTTAACTTAATATTTTTAGAAATCTCAAATTCAAATTATTTTCTTTTTTAAGATATATATTATGTACATAACATAAGTTTTTATAATATATGTATATAAACTTTAAAAGTAAAAATTATATCGTTATAAAAATTATAATGCAAGTAGTGCAGGTAATACGCGAATTAGGTGAAGACAATTTACAAGTATAAATTAATGACATTTACATATTAATGGTGTATATACGTGACGTATATACAATTTTTACAAGTAAAATTTATATAAAACTTACCTTTTTAAACAAAAAGATAAAAGAAAGGCGCCAAGTACAAGCGCAACACATATTGTGTTATTTTTAGAAATTTTAAACTCAAATTATTTTTTTAAGGCATATATGTGTACATAACATAAGTTTTTACAAGTGAAACTTATAACGATAATAAAACTCTACAACACTATTCTACTGTACAACAGAAGTGATATATTAGAACAGTAGCGCCAATTGAGAAACCTAACATATATATGATTATTGTATACTTAATATTTTTAGAAATCTCAAATTCTAATTATTTCCTTTTTTAAGATATATATTATATACATAACATAAGTTTTTACAAATAAAACTTATCAAATTATTTTTCTTTCAAGATATATATGTACATAAGCATTTGAAAGTAAAAATTATATAATATTATAAAAATTTAACACCTTTATTAATAGTGTCCAATATTTAAAAAAGAATATCTTTTTAAAGGTTATTGTTATTCAAGAAAAACCTAGCTACAAAAAATGTCTATGGCATAAATTTTTACAAGTAAAATTTATCATTATTTATTAGAACACTGAGTTATATGGTTATTTTACTTGTTATTATAACAAATTAATTATTATAACAATGCAATAAAAATATTTAATACAAATAATCTTGGGGCGGCTGCACCAAAAACTATATCGAAGATGTATGTACATAAAAGTCAAAATAGATATTGACATTTCGTCGATTATAATAAGAATAACATCTTTGAATAAAAAAATATCAAAATTTGTAGAATATATTCACATTCGATATCTATATTCTATAGTGAAGGTTTATAATTTAATATAATACTATATAAACTTAAATAGAACATTACACCGTATATGCATAGAGAGAATTTATAAGTATATTTTATTATAATAAAAATGCCATCATGTATGTATTAAACAAGTTTTAGTTCGATATAGTTTTTGGTGCAGCCGCGCCAAGATTATTTGTATTAAATATTTTTTATTGCATTGTTATAATAATTAATTTGTTACAATAACAAGTAAAATAACCATATAACTCAGTGTTCTAATAAAT